AAAAAAAAAAAAAAAAAAAAAAAAAAAAAAAAACCACACACACACAGGTGAAAGGAGGACACTCAAGAAACCAATCTCGGCGTTCTACATCTCCGGGGGCAAATTATGAAAGCAAGAGTGAGCGGGTCGGCGAAATTTCAGAGAAGACTCCATGGTTTATTAAATCATGGAAGCATAACCTACACGCCAAAAAAGTACAGGAGCGCAATACCGGTCATGTAGAAAATGTTACATAAACGTGCTTTAAAGGCGCGCGCTCATCCCATGTGCCAAACAAATAGCACTCGTTAAGGTTGGTTGCCACGTGCTCCAGTTTTCATTAAGTACCAATGATATCATTGAATGAAGTCAATACCGTTAAATGAGAATCGAAAAACAAGAAGGCCAACATGTCACGCTGAAGAAAAATTACCCGTCAGTTCCCTTTAATCTAGACTGTCTCCATTAAAATAACTGTTAACATGTGCGGAACGCCCACATATTGTAATATAGGTGCTTTTCAATGGCCGCCATCTTGGAGGTGCGTATGTGATTTTATTTTGCATCGATCAATATGCACGAAAACTACTTTCAGCTCCAAGATGGCCTTCGTACGCAAGCTGTGTATATCTCCTCTTCAACAGAGTTCAAAGATAACATGGATATAGGTACAAGATTTTGACCAACTCTTAACTGCTTCTGCAGAACATACCTGACCAAGGGGGCAAGGACCCCCAGAGATCGAGAATGCAGCATGCGGACATCACAATACCAAAAGAGAGGAAATTATTCACCTTTCTGTATGAATTATTGAAGGCTTCGATAGTCCCAATCCATTGAGTGTGGAAGGGCGAATGCGTTTGCGCGAAATCATTCACGCAATATCGATCACACAATTAAGCCAGCCATGCGCGCACATAGTTCCAAACCCACCGCCTTATCTTACAGCTCTCATATCCTCAATTATCGGCGCGGTTTGTTGGGCTGATCACAGCGCTGTGTTTAACGACAAAACACAGCTGTCTTGTCCAAAGTCAAGCGCGCACCATGCTGTCTCGCTGATAGTCGAGTTCAATTCAGACGATGGTGCCCTTTTAAGAAAGAGAGTTCACATTATCCGATGCAGTTTGAAAAGGTTTATACCAAGTCAAGCAACTGATTGCTACTGAGGTACTGTTGGCTCGAAAGGTATGCCAAAAGACCGTAATTGAAGCAAAATAACCTCTAAATCGTCACTACACATCACCGACGACACCTGCCATTATATCATCCATTAACTTCTGAGACTCAAAACGACAACTTCCAACAAGGCAAATCTTGTATTGAGTTCCAGGCGGGAAAACTTCATTCTCCTGGCCACAGGTACCACGTTGAACTAAGTGGCTATGTAAGCAATAACGACTAGTTAATGAATAGCAGAAACGGCAATATCAGAAAAAAATTCCTTGAGATGGTTCAGTAAAGGGTAACCACACAAATTTGGTGTGCATCGTTCTTTGTCTCAGTTGCTGTACATACGAAACTGATTTTTATCGCATGCATTTGCAAGATAATTTGTTCACGAGTCCAAGTTTCGATAGGCCTAAGGCCAGAAACAAAAAGAAACCAACAATACTCCGATTCAGAATTACCGGTGTGTGTGTGTCAAGCACAATTTAACGAACAAAACAACATTCTGTTGATTCCCGATTTTACAGGTGCAAATTTTTATATGAGGCAGGGGATTACGGTATTCGGTAGTTATACCCGTCTATCCATAGTCTATATCTGATATAATTTTGGCTCCGTGTTTTGTTATTCATATACGTTTTCCCTCGTTGTTTGCCTACCACCAAAAACATAAATAAATAAATAAATTAATTAATTAATAAAACCAAAGGGATGTAATGCAAAACTTATGAAGCATACATTCTTAGAGAAGGCAAGTACACTATAAAAAGACGATTGCAACCGTTTCATTCCCACTTCTATGTAAGCAAGCAAACATACATGTTTGCTGAGGGGAAGGCGTCCCCCTGGAGAGGACGAGCATCCAACAAATATTGACTTTCAATATCTCATTATCTCATTAACACGCTTCCCGCGTCAAGCCCCCCTTCACCAAAATAGATCGCCAGCCCGGCTCCCTTGTCACGTAGCAATACACAAGTCATCCACCCTATAGCCCTTCATCTAAATCCAGTTAGCTTCTCCGATGCGGCGGGATTATAGCTCTTATTGCCGCAACCTCCCCCCTACCTAATATTATAAGACTGGAATATTTATGGAGGGTGGTATATTTAGTCACTGACGTTGGCCCCATGCGTCAAGACTACACGAGTCGAGCTCGAAACACTTCGAACGCCGAAAGAGTAAATGCCAGTTCCCGCCTTTTTTATGCACCGTGCCAGCTTATAAAGTGAGACACACCGTCTCAAAACATCTTTTTTTTGCAACGTGTGAGCAGAATGACATGATGCAGTGAAACACGGCGCCATTTTCTTCCCAGCTCGTCTACTCGTCCGCACACCGGCACCGAACAAAAATACACATTTTTACACGTGGCTCACTCGCGCCAAGGGTCTACGGCTACCGTGGGGGTAAAATCATTGCTAGAGATCTTTCAGAACCCCATAATATCAACGGGTGATGTGGCTTGGTTACCTATACTTTACCTCTCTCAAAAACACGGTATGTGGTATCAATTCATTCAAACCGCACGTTCAATAGTACAATAATCGGCTCCGAATCGTGATAGCGCTCAAAGGGGGCAATCACACTGTCTAATATTTGGGGTAATAATGCATATAATCTTTATCATTTTGCACCAAGAACACGACCCAGCACTTGATAGCCACACCTTTTCATTCCGCTTATGGATTTCTTTAACAAACCTTCAAATTTATTTATGTGCTTTTGTTATCATCCAAAATCAATGCTTCAATATAACATCGCTTTACTCTTTTTTTAACCCTAAGTGGTTCGATCAAGCGAGAGCCTTGAATCTAATAAAGAGCTGAGCATGTCGTTGCCATAGTAATATTTCAATTTTAATACAATAGAACGAGCGTGACTTATGGGCATCATTGCATCTTATTGTGCCGTTGCCATGGAAACCCTGCTCTGCCTAACACAACTGATGCAGGCTGTCATATTTTCTCAAAGAACGATACAATGTAAAGCCTACCGAACGAAGTTCACCCTCTTGAATGGAATTCGAAGCGACTTAATCCCTCTGGGATGGGCCTTTTTGTGAAGAGAAAATGTGACGGGGAGAATCAAAACAGTGAAACACGAAGGGAGCGCTGTGACTGTATGCAAAGAAAAAAAAAACAGATCCCTTTGAACTGCATTCCTCCAGCTATCAACCCTCTCCCACGCTGTGATTGTGCTCTCGTGATATGCCCACACGCTGCACGTATACACGTATATAGTCGCATATAGACTGGCCCCCGGCGGCAACGAAACAATGAATTCTGGGTCCTATACTTCACCGAGCCGAGTG